GATCGCGTGTGTGATGGGTACGCTTGATTAGTGTGTGTCTACGTCTATTGTTTCTGTAATGGCGTGCGGAACATTGCGAGGAGCACTCGCGGGGTCTCCGTGCCGGTCCAGCCGGTGCCGGAACGGAGCCGGAGACGGGAAAGGTCCGGATCGCGACTAAAGATCGCGGCGGATAGTTTTAACGCGCGCGGTCGAAGTCGCACGCGATCGCGTTTGCAATAGTAGAAAAATTGCCGTTTCGGAGGCAATTGCTCGAGAAACGATTGCTCGCGCAATGCTGCGCACGCGCCTTCGTTTTTTGCCCGCAAACGCGGGTTCTGTGACCGTGGTAACGCCCTTTCTTCTCGTTGGTTTTTCCCACACGTAGTACGTTCTGGAGTTCCTTTACACCGCGGTAAGTTGCAGCTCAAGCTCTCGCTAATCGTTCATTATCCAAAAGAAAAAAAAAAGAAAGAACAAAGTATCATCTATTGCTCGTTTCGCTCGTACATTCATCTTACATGTCTTTCGTATGACCCATTAATATGTAACACTTATGTATTTATATATCGAACCTTTAGCCTGCCTTTACACTATCATTACTTTCCTAAAGTTTCGTTCTGTCTCTTTTTCTGCCTTCTTTGTTTTCACGCCGCCCATATAACAGCCTGTTATCATTTCTCATTATACGAATATTTGCGTTTCGCTAATGTTTGATCACACTTTGCTTATTTGTCTCTCATCGAACGCCACTTCCTATTCTACATCGTCCACTCTCTCTCTCTCTCTCTCTCTCTCTCTCTCTCTCTCTCTCTCTCTCTCTCTCTTTTTTTCTCTCTCTTTTTCTCTCTCAGCCATTCTATCTACCTGTCTGACCTATCTGTCTTTATTCACTTTCGCGCCTCATGGCCACGCTCGCGTTGATACGTACAGGAGATGAGTCGTTGACGGTTTTTGTGGCGGTTTATCCCGCTCGAGGTAGCGCGTCTCTCGTCGGGTTTCCGTCTATATTTTTATAAAAATAGTCGAATACATGTTCGCAAATAAAAACGCCATGGACTTTGAAAAAACATACGAACGAGAAACAATCCTCCTAGTATTGATATCGAATTTACAACAAATATTCGGTAACCTACTTTTTTAAAATCCTCTTTGTAGAACACTCTCTCTTGTTTTGTAAAATCCACGTTAGAAATAGATCCAGGGCGAAGTTTAATGTAGGAAAAAAAAAGGAAACGGAACATTGTGAAAATAAGCAGTATTCTGATTCTGAAGATTCTATGATCGCTATTCATAGTTGATTCTTATATTCAAGACGGTCCTCTAAGTACAATCTTAAGACGTTACAAACCAATTAGAAGGCCGTGTTAATATCTTAAGATATTATTTAAAACGGTCTTGAAATAAGAATATATCATGAATATCGGCCTGCCGTTTTTTTTTTTATTATGATATATAGAATCTCATATTAGTTATCGGGTTACCTTTTATCTCGCTTATGAAAATATATAATACGCTTGTACGCATCATCAGGGAGCGTCTGTCCATGGGCAAAAACTCTTCACGTATACATTAAAGTCAACCGTACGAATTGTCTCTGTGTTATCTGTGATATGTCGTCAGATTGTTGTCTCCCTTTTCTGTTATGTCTTGTCTTCTTGTCCCTTAGATGCGTTAGCCATATGACTGATATACATAATAGTATGTTACGAGTCGTGTACTTACGAACCTGGTCTTGTGTTGTTTGTGTTTGCCAGGCTTGCACTTTATGTACCATCCTGTCGAACTTGTCTTATAGTGAACGTCCTAGCATTTTACATGAACGCTGACCTTATTGCGCGCCTCTTGCGTGAACGACTCTGTTGCGTTCTTTTTATTATATCGTTCCTTTTTCTATCATATTATATATATACATACGATACGAACACGAGATAATAACTCAACAAGTGTACATGTTCGCTTTCTGTTCTATCGACGGATCGGCAAGTATTGCTAATCGGCACCGTACAGTTCATGATGAAGAACCCTAAAGGACCGTCTCTCCTTATCCCTTGTCTGCGTCTATTATCACCTGTCTAAAATGTGCCAATAACCCGACACCAACGCCCTGTGTCTGTCTTTATCCGATATCCGAGGAAATCGAAACCCACCGAAATTATCACACCCAGACCCAGCCAATCCCAAGTTCTACTCTCGTCCGTCTACCCCCGAGATTTCCTGCTTTACTAACTTAACGATGCTTTTTTCTGGCGCGGAGTACTTACTGAAAACAACGAACATTTGCTAATTCCGCTGAAATTATTTCGACTGAAAATTTCGCGATCTCTCGTGCGTCTTGGTATTTCTCCGAGATCGATCCTCGACGTCCTCGTTCGCGCGAGAACGACGGAAGAAAGGCGGAGAGAGAAAAAGAAAAGACAGATAAACCGAGAGAAAAATTCACTCAAAAACAGAGAAAGAGAATGAAATCGCCGATGACCATTTGCTCGTAAATTCGGCGGAAAGAAAGAAAAAAAAAGAAAAGAAAATAAGCTAGATTAATAATTCCTAACGGCGTTAGGTACGCGTCGCGCGTGTACATTCTCTTCTTTCATTATTTGCATATAGGTTGACTACGACTGCCTTTAGAAATCTCGGTGCATTCGAGCATCATCCGTTTTTCTTTTTCTGTTTATCATTCACTATGGGTTTGGACGTACAGTAGTGACGACTGTGCCTGCCACCTTGCTATGCTCGCACTTGGAGGATCAGCGCCCGCCTCCCCGGCATAGTTTGATCTCCAAGCCACTCGAAACGAAGGCACGATCAGTGATCGAAACCGATAGCATTGTCTGACAGTGATATCGCATTTCGTTTCTTCGTATATGCGAAAATCTGCGTTTATTCGCGACAGAAGAGCGACAGTTGTCAAAGAATATAGAATGTAGACGAACTATTAAGGAAAACAATGAATAATTTTTATAATTTGAAAATTTAAGTACTTTATGTAAAATTCAACTATTTCATTCTTGAGAAAATGAACACATGCATTTTTATTTTACTTAAAAATCGGGTATTGTTAAAGTATATGTCTGATTATTATTACTTATACTACTTAATCCATTCAATATCTTAAATAAAATCATACTGCTATAAGTTATTGTGAATATTATTATATTATACAAAGAATCTTTCTTGATTTTCTTCTTTTTTTTTATTTAAAAGAATAAGGCTGTCACTAGGTCGGACAAAATATCGATACTTTAGCGATTTATAAGAGGTTAACAAAAGCGTCGATATATCCGGCGCACTTTTTATCTAACAGCAAGAACCGACCTCATCGAAATAATCCCGGTTTCGATCCCTGAGCATCCATGAAATTTACTCGATAATTACGACAATTGGAAAGGGTCGATGGTCTTATGTTGTGTGACGTTGTGACCATCGATGTTGCGCGGAGCGTTGGGGATACGCGTGATCCTCCAAGAACGAATATGCCCCCATACGCAATCCCTTAGAGACTGATAAATATATATATCTATATATATCTACATACCGAATGCATATAAATGGGTATATAGCTTGTTACACGGCGCGGGGGACCGTAGCTCATGTCGCACGTGCCGCGATACATTCGTTACTCGGCCAGTCCAACGGGTGGTGTAACAAGCTATATACACACATGCGACGTGTCGCATATATCTCTTATATACATTATATATATTATCTACGTACCTATATACATCGACCTCATTATATTCAGCACTACACGAATCGCTTAAAATATTCAGCTTCAGAACATTTCAACTTTCTCTCGCCGAGAGTCCAGCCTCCCTGGCCTCGTACATCCATTTCTCTCGATCCCTCAATTCCGTCCATGAAAAGTTCATATGATACGTCTATTATTATATTACATATTACATATCTCTCACGCCTACTACGTATCTATATAACATGACTGCATGCCTTTTATTCTCTCACGAGATAATTTTCCTACGAATTTTCCTCTCCCCCCTCCCTCTGCCCGTCCCCCAACCCCTATTCCATTCGCTTCGGGACGGAGTATTATGTCTTCTCTTTTTTTTTCATCTTTCTTTTTCTCCTTTTTTTCTGGTCTCTGAAAATCCTGAAAGTCAGTGCCGAGAAGAATGTTCCCGCCTCGCTGCCACCGCCACCACCGCGAATGCTGATTTTCGCGAGCACAATGCATCGTCGACGCACTGCGCGTGTTCCGCTGCCCCCGCCGTCCAACCTCACAACCCTCTCCACTCTCCCTCTTACCCGTTCCGCCACCCCCTCGCCTACGCGGCATTGTTCTATTTGTAAAATCAATTTGTATCGCTCCTCGATTCAGCCAGAGGCATTAGCTTCCCTTGTACGTGGCAACGCGGCCGTCGAATGTCGGCCGAATGGAGTTGCGGATTGTATTGGCAGCGAAGTGAGAATATTGGATCGCATTGAACCGTTGACCGCGGAAGCTGATTTAACAGGCGAAATCGATTGCTCGCGTCCGCGCTCGCGTAAAGACACTGGTTGTGCATCGACCGAGTAGTACGATCGCATTACTCGTTAATTAGGCGGGCACTAAGTGGGTATTAACAGTGCCGCCGTTGTTCGCGGTGAGATCGCAGAAAATTGATTCGTGATCTAATTCGACCTATAGCTTTGGAATCAATCTTATGAAAATATTAAGTGTATTAATGATTACGAAAATAATTAAATCGAAAATCGTTGAAGCACGGCATTTATTTCAAAATTGAAAGTTAATTTACAATTCTATTTGTGGTTAGATATTTTGAAATGTATTTTCCAATATATTTGTATTTAAGTTACGGACAATGTTTCGAACGGAACGCCATGAAAATTCACGATTTTTTTTTTTTTTTTACAAAATTGTACCTATCTTCGCTTCAACGCGCGCACCGATCAAAATTGCATTCCGATCGTAGATAGATGTAAATTGTGAGAATGCTTCGTTTTAAATCAGCATTGCGCGGATTAATGGGTCGACGAAACGATCCCACTTCGGTGGACCTCGATATATCTGTAATTTGTAACAGTCGAGTTGCGGTGATGCGAGGCCAAGTTGTTACCGAACAAGGACTCGGAATAGTAGGCATCAGAGTGTCCGTGGACAGGGACTCGCGCTTTGGATTCACCTTGACTAGAACAGACGGATGGTAAGGATCAATAGTCCACTTATTCTATGTTACCCAGCTTCACATCGAATTCGATTATTATACACTGTTAAATTCATATCGAATTATATCCATAATTTGAGTTATTTTTAATCATTTCAATATTTTTTTTACTGTTTTAACTCAATAATCAATGTCATTAATTTAACTAAAAGAATGTGTTAAATTTGATTCAAATTATTATTTACTAAGCGCAAGTCGTTAATATAGACTTGTTGTTTATTTTGAAACGAAGTAATTTAATCACAGAATGGATTGATTTATATTTTCATACATATAAAAGTTAAAAATAACAAAATGTTATTTAACTCAAGGGATTAGATTATCATTGCTCTCTAACAGTGTATGTTAAAATTATTAGTTTTTCTAAATTAAAACGATAAAATTTACAGTAATAATGAAATAATGAAATAATGAAATTAAAAACGCCAGTGGCAAATTTATTTTGCAAACCTTTATCCGAAATATTATCATTGGAATAGTCTTAAATATCATTATGTCTAATAATGATTTTTAAAATTCGACACTGATGTGCTAAAAAGAAAATAAAGGTCGATTATCATAGTGCGTATCCAAATATCAAGCCAATTAAAAGACTTTATTTTTAGATAGATTTACTTTTTAGTCTGAAAGGTCAGACGAAATGCCTGAATTGGAATAATTTCATGAATGCATATAAATGATATAAATGATTTTAAACGTGCATTCTGGTTTGTCCCTAATAGATATGGTAATGGATAGTAATTCATATTAATATTTCACTATACACACGTAGAGGCAATTATGCTGTTCGTATTTTAAGCCGATGTAGTTATTACTGTGGCATAATATTATTTTGAAAGAGGGATTTACCCGATTAATGACAGACATCCATAACGTAAATGACGGATACCACGGGCGTAATCCAGATTATTATATATGCATTACCATCGCGCTCTGAGAACATTTAAGAGCCGTAATATCTCTAATCTGTATCTGCTAATTGTTGATTATTCTTGAGTGTCGTGTGTGAAATAATTGGGTCAGTACTATCGCGGATAATATATTACCGGCGATAGAAAGGGATTCACGGAAAGAGTTACGCCCGTTGTTACATCCGTGTTACATCCGTTTACAGTTATAACGGCGGTCAACACATACACACACATACACATACACACGCGTAGCCGTCATCATCGTTGTATTAGCATTTGCACATACGATGAGCACGACATGTAGGGCCGGAGCTGGACGTCCTGCGCGATAGTATCAAGGCTGCATTGTAATGAAAGGGGGAGGGATAGGGGGATGTAGTCGGGAACGACTACATCAGGCGAGGGTATACAGCAATCCTGGCGAGAATAATTCTGAAACAGGAAAGCGGAGGAGTTGGGATACTAGACCGCATCAAAGCTCGAGCTAATGATGTCGAAAGCTTACTAATTACTCCGTGCAAACCTACGGTACCACGGCTCGGTCCATGGTCCTCGATGCATCGCGGATCGTCGAAATGCATTCGCATATATTGACCGAACCTACTCGTTACGAAACTTTGTTTCACTGGCATTCTCTTTCGATTTAATTCATATTAATCCAACGACCGGAACACCGCACCTACTCGTAATTAATGTTCATAAATGCAAAATAACAAGCGGGTACGTATTATTCCATTCATTGACGCGCCTTCAATTATAATATCGTTACAGCGCATTATAACTTAGATGAATTTTTCGGCGTGTAATAATTTTACCGTGTATTAACGTAATTTGATTTCGCATTTTGCGAATTTTTACATAATCAAATTTTTAATACGCGAAATTTTGCAGAAAAGTAAAATACGGAAATTATTTTAGTATAAAAAAAAAACCTAATCTCGTAGAATATTTCATTTTATCTCAAAAAAACTGCCTTTATAAACGTGTATACAAATGTATGAAAATTATTTTCTAAATAGTTCAATGGGAATTTTAAATCTAACTATAAATAAAATTCAATAAGTACAGTGCTTTTATAAATCCTGTTAAAAATATGTTCTGCAGTTTTTGTTTCACGCTCCAACTTTCAGAGAAGGCAGTAATTTTATATGAGAAGGAATATTACTTCATTAAATTCCATAGCGTACTTTTGAACCTAGGCACAAACTTAAATAATGAACAGGCTGAAAGGAAGAAATTACAAAGCACGTATAAATAAAAATCTACTTCGTTCATTGTTCACGTCAATAAATAGAACTATAATCATAATAATCCTTCAAACAAGTTTTAAAATTACACATCTCGTTAATACTTTGAAAAAGGCTATTATTGTTCTTTTAATAATTATTTATATCTCATTGAAAGTTTCATACACAACTTTGTTTTTGAAAAACAAAATAAAAAGATGTATCATTTTCAACAGAAATATTTTCGTTATTTGCTACAACCGGGGTAAATTTTTTGCACAAGAAAATGTTTTAGAATTTTGCCAATTAGTAATACGCTTAGAAAATTAATCAAATAGGACGAAGAAACTTGCAAGACACTTTGCGTTCCAATTCTAAGGTTTCGTCAGACATTCATTCCCTGATAAAGCGAGCGCACTATCTTGATCGACCTACGTCGGGATTCTTACGTAATACCGGCAATGGAGTTCGAAATGCATTACGTACTTTGATCAGGTTCGACGTCCTGGTCAATGGTGGAGGCGCCGTGACGCTTCAATTCCAGCGCAGCCCCTTCAAACCCCTTACGAGGACCGTCTTCGTACCCTGGAATCAGATTGTGGTCCTGCCACCCGTTGTGATGATTCTTAGCAAGGAAGGCGAATCGTATAAATCTAACCAGCCGCCGAGCCCGGCAGTTGGTAAGCATCGAGCTTCGGATATGTATTACGGATATTTTTTCTTTTTTATCTTTTTTTTTCTCTTTTTTTGGTCGGTCGACCTGGTACACATATATCTCATCGTGTTACGTGTCGGATCGCGTTACCCATTAACGTCACAAACGTTTCGATAAACGCGCGTACGTGCTCGATCACTTGAAACCAATCCCGGCGCGCAGGGAAAAGAAGAGATAACAAAAGTAGCGCGAATGTACATTTTTTTATTATTTGCAAAAGTTCTGTTAAAAAAAATTGGTGTAAGTAATTTATTACTGTTTTTCACGACCACGAATCGGATCGCGCGTTACACGTGCGATCTTCACAGGGCCCTCGTTTTCAGAGTTGTTCAACGTGTGTGCCGTCTTTGTTCCGTCCTTGAGTGTTATACATTTTTGAGTTTCTTATCATTTACGGAGTACAATATAATAGGCTTCCCAGGGATTTCGATGGGACTCTTTAGCGAGCACGGTCCGTGCTTGGAGCACGATCACGAAACGCTGCGACCAATTATCGTTAGCACGTGGATGCCTGAGAAAGTTGGCGGTTTGCCTGGAAAGAGCTTGGTCTTTGCTGAAAGTCAAGTAAGTTTCTACTTCGTAAACGATTTAATATCATTACAACACGCTTGTTGCTTTAATCAAAATACAGTCTTGACTTTGCCGTCATAATTAGGATGAAATTTTTAAATGACATAATTATTATATCTTGGTGTCCGAGATGTAATCAAAATACAGTCTTGATTTCGTCGTCATAATTACGATGAAATTTTTTAATGTCAAATTATTATATCTTGATGACCGAGATCTTAACAATAAAAATAACGAATCTCGTTATATATTACGTGAGACAGAGATACTTTCGAAGGGGAACATCAAAGGATACTGCACGAATGTAACAATATTTATGATGGAGATTACAGCACTATGTGACCGCATTAACGCAACGTTAAACATCGCTTGCAGATCGTGCAGGAAAGCATCGCTATTCCGGGCTCCAATCTCCACTTGATGTATCAAAGCAGTCAGGCTGCGGGCTATCTCTCTACCGTGAGGATGCAACTGACCGGGCCGTTCATTCCGAAATCGCTGACGCACGTACACGTGCATGTGGAGATCGAGGGCTCGCTTCACACGAAAACATACGAGGCCGACCCGAATCTGACACACACGTTTGCCTGGAACAAGAGAAACGTTTACAAGCAGAAAGTGTACGGCGTCGCGCAGGCGAGGATCTCGATCGGCTATCAACATTCCACTTGTCCGTCGGTGATATGGGAGACGCAGACGGCCACTTTGCAGGGATTCGACGTCGATATCTCCGATATCGGTGGATGGGGACTCGACATCCATCACCATTACAACTTCCACGAGGGAATCCTGCAGAAAGGCGATGGCTCTACTCTACATTTTAAACAGTATCCGCGCACTGTGAAAGTGGTAATGGGCACTGGTCTCCAAAGAAGTTTGGTGTGTCAGAATTGTGATGGTCTCGCTAAGGATGCTAGACTCTTGACGCCAGTGGCACTTGCCAGTGGACCTGACGGTAGCATATATGTCGGAGATTTCAATCTCGTGCGCAGAATCACGCCCGAAGGAAAGGTTTACACCGTTCTGATTCTAAGGTAATCTTTTTTTTTACAAGATTTGCAAAAATTCAATGATTGGTTCACATCTAATCTAAACACATTTCCCATCTTTTGCAGTGCGACTCAAGTGGCGTATCAGTATTATCTGTGTATCTCGCCGGCTGATGGACACTTGTATATCAGCGACCCGGAGAAACATCAGATATTGAAAGCACTCTCGTTGGAACAAGTCCAAGATCCAAGCATTAATATCGAGCCAGTTGTTGGAAGCGGCGAGAGATGTATCCCAGGTGACGAGGGCCACTGCGGCGACGAAGGTCCGGCCATCCATGCAAAATTGGCTCATCCCAAAGGTGAAGGACAACTTAAAATACATCTGTCATTTTCTTTGAAAGACACTTGCGCTATTAGAATAACATCGAATAATTTAAAAGACACTTTTATAAAGTGACGAACATATACACATACATACCGGAACATTTGAGAATTAATATTTTATGAACGAGTAAATCCATTTGGATCATCCTTTTTTTATTTTCAGACTGTTGCCTATAGGGAAATTTAAACTATAATTTATTCGAATTTCGGGTTAAAAATAAAAAATTAAAAATAGTCGATCCAATATAGTGAACAGAATTTAAAGAAATAATTTGCTTATCGCATAAAGATCTTTTAAAAAATTTGTAATTGCAAAGAATAACATCAAGTTTCTAGTTTCGCTTTATTTGATGTTCATCAGTGCTATGCACAGTTAGTACTAATTTCCAATCTGACTTCTAAATCTTGATTACGAGCCCTGTGACATTAGACCTCTTTCATTGCAGATTACTATTCTTTTGGAATTTGACATTTTTAAACTACATTCCAACTTAGATAATAAAAATCTTCTAAAACTGAGTTTCATGATAATCAAATTATTTCTTTTTATCTAATTTTAGGCCAGAATTGAATTCAGCGATCTCGATAACTCTTAGATAACAAGATCTTCTTTAAGTTTTTTTTTTTTTATTAAAAAGCTCACGTTCTCAAAAGGTTGAAGGATTACTTACAAAAAATAATTTTGAAAAATGTTTTTTGTTATGATTTACAGGAATCGCAATTGCGGCCGATAAAACGATGTACATTGCCGATGGAACAAATATTCGTGCTGTCGATCCTCGAGGAATCATACATACTCTCGTAGGACATCATGGTCATCATAATCATTGGTCACCCGCTCCTTGCATCGGAGCCATTCCCGCACATCAGGCTCAGTTACAATGGCCCACCGGATTAACCCTAAGTCCATTGGATGGATCCCTGCACTTCATTGATGACAGGCTAGTCCTGAAACTCACCAGCGATCTGAAGGTGCGTGTAGTCGCTGGCACGCCTCTTCACTGTACCAGCAATGCAAATAACAACAATGGCAACGATGAACTTCCGAAATTAAATTCCTCGTTGACGACAAATCTGAAAAAATCCGACGAGGTCCTCGGGTCGGTGTTGGCTGTCGGTTTCAGTCCAACCGGTGAGCTATACATAGCGGATCGAGATTCTCATCGAGTGAACTCTATCAGAATCGTCGATTCTTCCGGCAAGATGTCACACTTCGCGGGTCAACAGCAGGAAAGATTGCGCGGTCAATGCGAATGCAACAATACTACACCCAGCACCAAGGACTTGGACACGTGCACCTGCACGGACGATACTAGTAGCACCGAAACGCTTCTCTCTTCGAACGCCAAATTTACTGCAATATCTGCTCTGGCGGTTTCGCCGGATGGTGTTCTGCACGTGGCTGATCAGGGCAGCCTTCATATCCTGGCTCTCCAGCCGTACCTTCCGAACCACGATGAGAACGGGGAGTTCCGCATCCCATTCCCGCCTTCGAACGAGATCTATGTGTTCAATCGCTACGGTCAACACATTTCCACGAAGGACTTGACATCTGGAAAGACCCGCTACTCCTTCCTGTATAGCAAGAACACAAGTTTCGGCAAGTTGTCCACGGTGACGGACAGCGCGGGCAATAAGATTCAATTCCTGCGAGATTATAGCAGCGTCGTTAGCTCTATTGAGAACACTCAGGATCATAAATCCGAATTGAAAATCTCCGCGGTTGGGTTCTTGGAGAAATTGTCCGAACGCGGCAGGGCGGAGATCGCTCTCGGTTATGACGGTTCAACCGGTTTGCTTACCAGTCGATCAGGAGTAAGTTGGAAATTTTTATTGCTCATTTTTATTAATAAAGAATAGGTGTTGTCCATTGATTAAATATTTATTTCTCTCTTCTTTATTTAATCATACATAATAAAAAAATTTAATAAACTTTTTGTGAATAAATTATATATATTCCTTATTGATGAAACGTAATGTATTGTTAAAATTTCAGGGAGATGAAACATATATATACAATTACGACAGTCTAGGACGTGTCACCGACGTAATACTGCCGACAGGCGAGAAATTGAAATTATTATCGGACTTATCTGACGACGAAGGTCTATTGGTTAAAGTGTCTGCTCCCTTGCAAGCTTTATCTAAAGGCGATAAGCAACGAATCGTAGAATTTGAAATGAAAAATGAGAAGTCGAAGATGTTGACAGTCACTGACGGTATGTACTTTTTCTAATTTAATTAATTTTTGTTTAATCATTTTCCTCGCTATACAAATATATTCCAATTTTTTGCAAATATGATTAAAAATTGCATGAATATTATTCTAATATGTCTCGTTTCTCATTTACAGGCACCAAACTCATGAAAGCGATTGCATTTACGAACAGTAGCCTGGAAGTGCTTCTGCCTGGTGGTGGTAGAGTATTAAGCGCGGCGACAACAAAACATCCACTATTGAAGCCGGCTTTGCCGGTAGAAGCAGAAATGCTACCTATGTGGAGCTATCAATTGATGTCATTGGGCGAATTAACAAACACCATGACGACGACGTACAATTTGGTCGGAGAAGTTAGCCATCCCCAGCAAACGCTTAACAGAGAGATCTGGGTGAACGACACGCGAGTGATAAGCGTCGAATTCGAACAGGCGTTCAGCCGTGAGACATTCTATGACAAGGCGGGAACTCCCCTATTGACGGTGACCTTCGACCTGGCCGGTCTACCCTTGGTTTGGCAACCATACGAGCAGGGTCATAATCTCAGCATTACTTACGATCGATTTAACAGGATCGACAGCTGGAAATGGGGTGCCTCCGACGAATCATACGCCTACGACCGACACGGTCAACTAGCGGAAATCACTAATAGCAAGGACGGCACGAAACGATACACCTACAATGATTTCAATATGCTGTCGAAGATCACGCTCGCCAGCAACAGGCAGTTTTCGTTGCAATATGATGATGACGGTGGATTACGACATATCATTTTACCGTCTGAAACCAAACATTCCTTCTCCTGTCAGGCTTCTCTCGGTTTCCTCAGGGTGACATACACTCCACCTGGCAGCACCAGAGCCTATCTGCAGCACTACAGTCACGAGGGAAACCTGCTGCAGACTGTATTTCCGGGAGACGGAGCTCGCATTGTCTACAGATATCACACCTCGGGACAATTGGCGGAGATCGTTCACGGCGACGGCAAAAGCGAGATCAGATACACGGAGAGTGGACTACCTTCCGAAGTAATACACTCCGAAAGAGACGTGGAGTACAAATGGGATTATCAATATAGTGCAGGACTTCTGGTAGAGGAGCGAATAGATTTCGGCGCCAAGACTGGCCTAAGCAACGCCAAATTTACGTTCGAATATGATTCGAATTTCCGCCTGGTCGCGGTACAGGGTAGAATAGGCGGTCAAACGCTGCCACCACACACCATGGCTTACAGTCCGAGATCGGGTACGCTGGAGCAAATCGGTCAGTTTAAAGTGACGAGGCCACAGTCGAATGAGACGACTGTGTTTGACGGTACCGCATTGTTCTCGCGCACCACAGATGACCGATTCCTAGAAACTCAAGTCACAGTAACGATCCATCGAATGGAGGTATTCAGGATGGAGTTTACGCACGATTCGCGCGGTCGCATCAATCAGACGAGAACGTACACGCGTAACGTAGCCGTCAATACGTACACCAACGTAAAGAATTATACATGGGACTGCGACGGTCAGTTAACCGGTGTGGAGGCGCAGGAACCATGGGGTTTCAAGTATGACGCCAATGGTAATATGTTGTCGCTCACATATCGAGGTAACACGATCCCAATGGAGTACAATGCCATGGACCGAATAGTCAAGTTCGGCGAAGGTATCTACAAGTATGACAACCGAGGTTTGGTAGTACAGAATGCGAGAGAGGAGAGATTCAATTACAACGCCAAGGGTCTCCTTGTGCGCGCCACCAAACGCGGCCGTTTCGACGTGCGATACTATTACGATCACCTGGATCGCCTAGCCACGAGGAAAGATAATTATGGCAATGTCACGCAGTTCTTCTACAACAATCAGAAACGGCCGCACGAAGTGAGCCAAATATACAGCCCGCGCGATGGTAAACTAATGTCGCTGGTCTACGATGACAGAGGACATCTCATTTACGCACAAGTATACCGACACAAATATTACATTGCCACTGATCAGTGTGGAACACCTATTATGATCTTCAATCAGTACGGCGAAGGCATTAGGGAAATTATGCGATCGCCTTACGGTCACATCGTTTACGATTCGAATCCATATCTTTACTTACCGGTGGACTTCTGCGGAGGACTTTTGGATCAGGTAAATAAAAATTTAATTCCACTTGATAATTAATGAAATAAAAAAAAATGAGTGACATAAAATAATAAAATTTTCATTCGGAATTAAACGCAATGATATTTGAAATGTTCTTTGCTGTATTTCATATTTTCATGGTATGATCTATTTATAGGTCACCTCCCTCGTTCACATGCCAAATGGTAAGGTTTACGACCCGCTAATAGGCCAGTGGATGTCACCGCTCTGGGAAAACGTTTTGGATCGCGTAGACAAACCAACGCACCTACATCTTTATAGATTTAATGGTAACGATCCAATTGATGTCAGACACACGGACAGACCAAGTCAACCAACTGGTAAGTTCTGCAATATCATCGATATGAATCAGTTTACATTCTATCCATATTGATTTCCATCAATATAAATTCGGCGTGTTTTTATCTTGCAGATCACATATCATGGCTGTCGCATCTCGGATACGACCTGAAGAGTTTAGCGCCGCAGTTATTCCCGGATGAGTTACCGGAAAGCCTCGTTCCGCGAGCACTCGGTCCGGGAACCTCTATATTCGGTAAAAAGAAAAGAACGCGCAATCTGGGCGTCCAATCCGGTTTCCTCGCGCACATCGCCCAGAGGCATTCGGGCGACGCGGTGAGCCTGTCTGCGCCACCACGATCGGCCTTGAAGAAGGACACGAGTGAGCTGATACCCAGTCGTCTAGGTGCGGCGTCCGATCCGCCGTTTGGTAAAGGTATCCTGGTATCGAGAACCGCTGATGGCCAGGCAGTGGTGTCCAGCGTACCCAGTGCTAACGCTATTTATGGCGACGTGTTCACATCCGTGTTCAACCGCTCGTACTTCCTGCCATTTACGTTTGTCGTGCACAGCGCACAGCAGGACGCCTTCTACTTCGTCAAAGAGGAAACCTGGCGTGCCAGCGAAGATCGTGGTCAGCTGAAACGATTAGGAGGTCAGGTAAACACCACGTTCCACGAGAACGAGAATGGCAGTGGCAGTAGTTCGCTAATCGATGTGAAGATACACGGTGCCAGCTATGTGGTGAACTTGCGTTACGGCACCACAGCGGAGAAGGAGAAGCAGAGACTACTGCATCACGCTAAGGCGACCGCTATCAGGAAGGCATGGCATCGGGAACGTGAAGCCCTTAAAACGAACACTCCCACGTCCGTCGAGTGGATGGTCGCCGAGCAGGATGAGATACTATCCCGAGCTCGCGGAGGACCCCTACAACATTAGATTCGTGAAGAAGGCCGTCGACCAGTCGAGCAAGAAGCGACGCAGGAGGAGAGGCGCGCCGTCCTGTAAGCTCTGGTGGTTAGATAAAATGTGCTAGAGCAATTTGAGAGTCAGTCGTATCGTCCTCTCGCACGGGGACATTGTCCAGTATCGAAGCCGCGGGACTTTCGAGTGAGCGACACCGACAGGTAAAGAGATAGAAAGAAAAACCGGAAATGTGAAAGTCGACGGAAGGAGGTAAAAAAATGCTGTTGTAGCACGCTGTAACGCAGCGTCCGTATATGTATGCACGCGCATATATATAAACGTACTGAAAACTATCAAAAAGTTTTATACCAAAGTCTATTTGTGTATTTCAAAGATGCCAAAAACACTATAACGTTATATTATATATAATAAATATATATACCACGAGGTATAGGGTACGTAGGGTGTAAGAGCGTAAAGCGCACGCGGAGGAACGCGGGTTTCACCGAGTATTCGCTCCACGGACCAGCTGCGCGACCGATCCGCGATTGGCAAATCCGCGAAAGCCTTATAAGCGACGTCGGGAGAGGAAAGGATGAGAATCGAGAATGTGCCGGATTTCGGACCACGCGAGCCTGGAAGGAAAAGAGGAGGAACATTGTGAAATTTCCTCTGGAAAGTTCGACGCGACGTGAACGCAGCTAATAACTAGCTTGCAGGTTTGAATTAAATTCCAGGATGTGGAGTTTTCTGATTACGTTCGTACGAGGCAAGGCCGGCAAGCTCGTGGAGCTTGCGCTCGAGGCCTAAAGTAAATGATAGACCGTGGTGCCGCGCGTGCGAATCGTGCACGGTACACCGTATCGATACAAGGTAATTATAGTTATAACGCGAAGAGTGAGGAGAAAGAAGAGAGAAGAATAAGCCATTCATAGTTGAGAGTAACGAAAAAGAGAGAGAGTGAGAGAAACTAGTCAATACATAGCTTTACATTGACATAACAGCCTTCTACGGCGTAGGATAAATGCGAGGATAGTGAGAATCGGGAGAAGCGATGCCGTTGACGACGACGACGTTGACGAGCCACGTGTGTGTGTGCTGCCCACGATATTTTAACGTCGTACTTAGAAAAAAAAAGCAACGGCGGGTGTGATGCAAGTACGGTATTCACGCGATGACGAATACGATGCAGAAAACGGCGGCGAGCGCGAAAATAAATCTCAACCATGAATGGCCCTGGCGAGAAGTGATAGAGGATTGAGGAAGAGGAATCGGAGGAGACGATCCTCACGGTATCCTTGAAGAAGGACTAGGAGCCAACGATCGTGCGGACTCGATCATGCGGTCTCGAGCTTGAATTCCGTTCGCGGCTTTAGACAATTAAGGGCGAGACGAATTTGTATTATAAAGTGGTGCTTTTCTTGTATGCCGAGAGAATGGAGAGAGTGAAAGAGAGGCGGAGTGAGAGGATCAGCGATGATCGAGCGAGGATGAGCGTGCATGAGGTCGTCGAATACCAATAGCGAGACTAAACGTATTTTTAACATGTGGATGTGTCCTATCCGTAGCGTAAGCGTTCCCGATCGTCGCCGATCGGTGATCTAATATCGCATTGTCGTGCGCGCGAATGTGCGGGAAGATAGTCGCTCGGGATCGACGGTGGATATCCTTCGATGATTCTCGGAGATCGCGGAGGGAAATGCGAGCCGGGCGTGCGAGCCGATGTCTGCGTATAAGCCGGAAACGGAGAAAATTTGCAAGAGAGATAAACTCATTATCGGTAAAAATAATACGTATACAATATCGCATATTTGTGCTTGCTGGATATGAACGTAACGGACGTTAACTATGTTTCCTTACTGAAAATACTAAGTATGTGTATCCAAAATTACTGCCCGTCAAGTAACGATCGTTTCGCCCGTGTATATGTGTATGTGTGTGTATGCGTGTGTGGTATGTGTGTGAGTGTGTGTGTGTGTGTGTGCGTGCGCGCCGATAGCCTGCGCACAAAAAACCCATATACGTGCATCGAACCATCCTTAGCGTCGAAAATTCCTCTCATTATCATCCCTGTCTATCCTCTTCCTTCTCCCAGTCCTCAAATTTCCCTTCATCTTCCAAACTCCATGAAGATTCCAAATCTGTCGATTTGTCGCACGTATTGTTTGTTCGCGTCTCCACGAACGTTCGTATTCGCCATTGATATTTTGCAACGCGGCTTTAGAGACGGTGCCGTTTATGGATAGTTAGTGGCACAACGACATTACTGTCTGAATAGATGAAGAATAAAAAATGTTATCTATATGCTGAGTGTATAAAAAAGTATATATATATATATAGAGCGAGAGGGAGAGAGAGAGAGAAACAGAGAGAAAGAGAGAGAGAGAGATTTAGGGAAGCTTCGTAATGTATTTTTAACTCGAGCGAGTGTTTAGACTTATAACACCCAACAACGCAAAATCGTGAAAGACTTCCGAGAGATAGTCAAACGATGTTTGAAAAATTAGGCCGTCTTTACGGCTTCTTTTACGGTGTCGTGTTGCCTGGGCAATTTTAAACCGCGGTCCAAGACGAGCTCCTCCTGTCGGAGGCACGCGCGCTCGCACGTGCCAACGAGGCCGCAAAGGGTGATCCTTTTTGTACATTTCAGGCCCTCGTTCGCACGCGCGAGACGACACGACGGAACTCACTAAAATCGCGCCGTGAATATCTGTCCCCGCGCGTTGCTCATTGCGTTTCTCTGGCAGACGGCCGCGCGAACGGGCTCGATCGTCGAGCCGCATTCCTCCCTCGCTTATCTAAGCGGTTAATACCGACGCGATTATATTTCACTTTGTTTTAACTTCACTTTTAGAAAAAGCACTCATATATGAGAATAGCGAAAATCTTGAAATCTATTAATTAATCTCAAATAATTTACTGTAAAACTGTTAAATTCGATTTCTTAGAAGCAATCGCTTTAAAATCGCGTTTAAATTCAATAATAGTACAATCCTCGGCTATATTGAATAACTCTATCCAGTTATCGTAACTGTAACAATGAGACAGCTATCGTCTTTCAGCAGTGGTGGTAATTTCGCGAGGATAATATTTGAGGGTGATTTCCGTTAATCTTCCGAGGGCTTCTGCTTTCTCTAGATAAGCGAAATAGGAGTGCTTCGACATTCGTGCACATCTAAACACTCATCGTTTCCCCTTGGCCAGCCAACCTCCTCACACCTGCTCCTCCCACTGCCCTTCACACTGCCCTCACGCTCTTGATCTTTAATCGCATTATCCGCTGTTGGATCCAGCAACAGTGCGTTCAAGAAGAATCGACTATTTTTTAAATATCACGTGTCAAATTAATGAGCGGGCCAGGTAGCCGCGATACGTGTCGCACGGGCGGAGACCCCAAAAACTCGACTCGAGGCCCGACCTCGTCTTACGCGATTATAATATTAGAAAAAAAAATTCATTCTCTAACTTCCGTGAAGTTTCATCTCTCGTTTTTGCGAACTCGTTCCAAATTCGTTCATTCCCCGCGACCGCCCGCGGGGGATCGCGACAACTCCACGTACTTCTCTAAATAAATAAATAAATAAAAAGAAAAGAAGTAGAACGCGCGAAGAAATAACGATTATGTGAAATAAATAAATAAATAAATATAAATATATATGAATATATTGAGAAGAAATATAAATATATATATGTACACACGAGAGGAGCTAGAGTGGCCAATTATATAGCAGTAACCGTCGATCCACGAATTTGCGGCGCGATTGGTTCTCGAGCGCGACCTACGCCGAAAAAAAAAATGGAGAGGGGGGTAAAAGAATTCGAAATTCCAGAAAACGTGAAACGGGAAGTTGGGGATGCGAGAGCGATAAATGTAGAGCGAGAACGAAGGAAAGGAAGAAAGAGAGCGTGAAAATGAGAGATATTGAAGATTAAGCGAGCGCGAAAGCGAACGGAAGAGTCAGTCACGCTAAAGCTACTACGACCACTACCTTAGATAGATTAACGCTACTTTGCCGCTGATCTAATTGTTTACTGTCACGTGTTGCTGTAAACCTAAACCTAACGATACGATATTATATATATTTTATTTATATAACCTAATCAACTGTATTTATTGTAAATAGTCACGATGTTTGCTATGATATAATATATCTGTAATTGGATGGGAACCTGCCTGAAACTGCGCCCAAAGCCCTCTGTCCTCCCCACCCTCATTTTCCACAGCTATAGAATCCGTATACATCCCATACACGAGTACAGGACATATATATATATATATATAAACGTAAACACACGGACACAGCATACACACGCACACATGCTATACATAAACGCGGCGTCGACTGCCGCAGCCGTTTAGCGATAATTTAGACGAGAGGATTAATGGAGAGAAAAAGACAGGTGCATCGCGCGCGTTAAATTATCACTACGTCAATATTTCGTATCGCATCGACAGGCAATCGATTTCACGTAAGACGCTCTATTTTATCGTAGGGAAAAGAAGAAAAAAAGGAAGAATTCATCCTCCCGCCATTCGATCAGACACTCCCCTCCCTCTACCGTTTGAACCTTTCCATAAAGGAGAACATTACGATGGTCACGAGCAATTTTTATAAATGTATTTTTTTGCCTCCCTCTTCATCCCCGCGTGTTGAAAACACATCCTGATTCGATGATCATCGTAGAAGCGCCGGAAGTGAGTAATTTACGGACTTTTCCACTTGAACCACTGCCACGCGGCAGACGGCGATCCAACCAGCATGTCCAATAAACTTACAATATTACTATCTTAAGTACAATATATTAAGTGTTTTCAGAAAATATATGATCTATATATGATAATAAAAAACGGGAAAACGTTTCATCGGACTTGTCATTCACTTCTAAGTCACGTTCACCCTCGATGTTTTCATGAATATGTTGCTTCGTCCGTTATTAATTGACTCGTCTTCAATCTTTTTCGTAAACCAAACGCTAAAAGCATGCTGATTAACTGAAATGTGAATAATTATTCTTTTGCTTATTTATTAAATGAGAAGGCAAACAAATATACCACGAAGGCAAGAAAGTAATAAGTTTTGATTTACCAGAAGTGGAAATATGACAAGTGTTGAAATAGAGGCAGTCTGGACGTACGATTTTAACAGCATATAAGCTCCTTTTAAGCATCCAGATTTATAAGACAGATTCTCTGTCATATGCAGGCACTGAAAATTGCGCAAACAAGTCAGGTATTCCATGTTCGAATTCTACGTCAATTGCTATTTATTTTCAAATTGACGGCTACGATAGTTGTATCTGTTTCAGATAAATTATTTGCAACTGATGTTGGATATATAGTAATATATTTGTTTAGTACTTAAATTGCTAATACAGATAAAACGAAAAAAAAAAAATGAATAATATTAATGTATTCAGTAATCATAATTATACGATCATCGAGTAAATACGATAGTTTATTGATTTGTCTAACTATTTTAGCGCATTTATATCGATTGTTTGGGAATTATATCTACTGATGAAGTAGTTTATTCCGGGATGCAGTTGACCGGCTGAAAATTATGACAAGCCGTCATCACTTCTGAGAAACAGGAAAAAGAGAAAATCCCCGAGAAGAGTAAAAGGGATCCGGATATTATTAGGCGCGACCGGATGTACGCTGCGCGTGAACGCAACTAACTCATTTCCCGGCATGAAAAAGAAAGTACGTGCTACTTGGCAGAAAATGGATCAAGACGTGACCGGCGCAATCCTTCCATGACTAAGACCGGATGTAGCTTTTAGCTTTAGAAAGCTATTTAAATATATTCCCTATAATTTTATTTAAAGTATAATTCCCAAAACATAATTAAATGAGAAGAATAATCGACTATGAGTTTAAGTTTACTACATTTATTGTATTTCGTGACTAAGAGTTATCTTTATTTAATTTAATCAGGGTTGAGAAAGTTACTTTATAAGTTACATATGAGTTACTTTTTAGATTACCTTATATGTGTTTGTTATAGAAATTGAGCACAAAAAATAATACAAAATTGGAGCAAATAATAAAATATAATACAAAAAAATATCTGAACTTATTGTATTCAACTTCTATAGTGAAAAATATTAGTACTTATAAGTAACTTGTAAAGTAATATTTTTTTCAATTGTGAATTTAATATATCATATATTCAATAATGTATATAATATTTTTGATTTTTCTTTCATATATCAATTACAGATAACATTTTTTAGGCTTCCACAGATAAATTAACGTTTTTTAGGCCTTCATAGATTAATTACAGATATATATTTTTTTAAAGATTTATTTATTTTTAAGATTTTTAGTTTTTATTTAAAAAATTTTAATTTTTTTAAGATTTATTTATTTTTTAAAGATTCTTTTTACTTCTTCAAATTTACCTGTTTAAGTGATACAGAACAGCAACTTTGCGGAATGCTTATTTGATGATCTAACCAGTCTTTGGATGATCTAATTCCGCAGCATTTTAACTGAAACGTGTATCATTGGTAGTAAAATATACAAAGAATATGCAATTGAAAAATATAATGCTGTATAAAGTTCTTACATATCTATGAGTATTGTCCCACGCTTTCATAGCCCAATCTAAAGATCGATAATTTTCGATAGAGTTATTCATGTCATCTCGAACCTTTTTCGTAATCTTGTCGAAAAACGGAAAACTCATTGTCAGACATATAAATACAGCACAGAGAGCGATCGATTGGCACGTTAAGTACTAAAAGATAAAATACGCACATTATAAAACAAACTATTCTCAAATTGTCCATTTTATGCTTCACTTACTAAGCAGGTTGATATAATATATATTTTAAATAAAAAATTGCGCTTTCAGAAGATTTCTTTTTTGCTTTGTTAATTCAACTTACAAAAATCATGAAATGTTCTTTTTTCTTCGTGATTCCTATGATTCCAGTAAAAGCTACAAGAGACACAAACACTCCTAGAATTAATACAATCGTCATGAAAAGCTGCTGGCCGAGTAGTCTAGATGTAAAGTTTGCATCAGTCAACATCCAGATAGCTATTGCTATCGCCGTTATACCTGTGAGCTTAAATAAATTTCAAAATTAAATCATTCTTGCATCCGAACCTATAAATTGTATATAAGAAACTTCTACCAAGATATCCATTTTCTAATACTCACGAGAGCTATGCTGTTAAGCAATAAGAAGGAGAGTTTGAAACATTTCTTCGGCAGCCACTTGCAAAATCGTTTAGGCGGAGAAGTACCGATATTTTTGGAACTCTTTTCTGTCGAAATGGTTTCATCACTTTCAGTAACTAATTCGTCATCGTCCGTATCCGTTTCGATCTCGTTCTCATTTTCGTTACGCCCCATTACTCTCAATTAAAATTTTCGTCAGTTCATTAATTACGTATTCTAGTGAACGCATCACCTACAGAATTGACTTATGATATCCTTTAAATTTGATATTTCGAGCCTAAATTGTCATTTTATGACAACGTTAATGACAATCGGTAAGTTGATCCTTTACAATAAGCTTTTCTTTAAATAGGATCAATGAAAATAATAAAAATCTAGAAAAAATAACAAAAAGATTTTATTTTTTTAATATTATTTATTATTTTTAGAAATTAATTTTTTAATTTAGAAATAAATAAATTTAAAAAGTTGTTATAATTATTTAATTAAAATTAGAGTCTGTCTGAAAAATCTCTAAACTAAAATTTGTTAGATAATTTTTATAAGATTTTGTGACACGTTATTTCTTCTATTTAATAATTCTTTTATTTAATAATTCAAGCATTATATTATCTTATATATAAGGTCATGCAACAACATATATATCTTGCAAAAATAAATTTAATTTGCAAGTGTTAAAAGTATTTTTAACTTTTAATTATTTCATTTCTTTATTTTTAATTTTATTTAAAAAGTTATAAAATTAAGAAAAAAATTATAAATATAAAAAATTATAAGTATATTATTATGCTAATGCCTAAGACCGGAATCAGACTATGCATTGAAGATTGAGATTGAAGATTGAAAAATTCAAATTTGATCAATCGAAACGAAAGGAGCTAAAATTTCTTTGTCCTTATTGGTCAAATTTCAATCTTCAATCTTCAACCTCAATCTTCAATTCTAATGTGGGGTCTACAATAGAAGTCGTAGCGGTCGTAGGGTCTTAAGTCGTAGAAAATTGACCAATCACAGTTGATTATTCTTCTCATATTCGATTGTGATTGATCAATTTTCTACGATTTAAGACCTTACGACTGCTACGACTTCTATTGTAGACCCCGCATCAATCTTCAATGCGTAATCTGATTCCGGCCTAATTCACTAAAACACTAGACGCAGTAAGACCGGAATCAGACTACGCATTGAAGATCGAGATTGAAGATTGAAAATTAAAATTTGACCAGTGAGGACAAAGGAATTTTAGCTCCTATTGTTTTGATTGGTCAAATTTCAATCTTTCAATCTTCAATCTCAATATTCAATGCGTAGTCTGATTCCGGCTTAAGCGTCAAGCGGCAGAGCAGTGACCAACCAGCAAGGCGATATTGTTTACGCCACTGTAAATATCGCCTCACTGATTGGTTGCTGCTCCGCTGCTTGACGCTTGCTGCGTTCAGTGTGAATTAGGCATAATTGCAAATTGCATATTATAAACCTTTTCGTAAAAAAAATCGATTCCAATGCATATAGTCGGTCACAGAAAGGTTGCAACGCTTTTTTTTCGATGTCTTTCGAAACTCAGCCTTACTCGTAGAGTGGTTGAATGTAAATGAGTGGATCTATAAAAGTGCATTCACATGCAAGCGTCAAGCGTCAAACAGCGGAAGCAACAACCAATCAGCTGGACGATACGGGCAGTGGTGTAAACAAATATTTTTTACGCCACTGTAAAAATCGCCTCGTTGATTGGTTGCTGCTTCCACTGCTTGATGCTTGACGCTTGCATGTGAATGCACCTCAAGTAAGAACTAATCGCTGCAAACTGATTTGAGCAAACTGCATTTCGAAACTCATGGAAAAAAGTGTTACAACCTTTCTATGACCACCTGTACGCGGAAGATCGATCTCGGGTATTAAGAATCGATTCGTCGATTTAATTGGAGCTTAAGAATCGATCTAAAAAATCGAGAATCGAAGATAAAAGAATCGATTTTCTAAAAAATCGATCTTGAATCGAACATCCCTACCATAAAATCGTTCCCGCCTTTCTTACTTCGTATGACTGAGAAGCTCAGCTCCTTGTATTTTATGTTTTCGCACAAGTTTTACGTGTTACAACAAAAGACATGAGTAAAGTAAATCGAAAACCGTTTTCAACACCTTCGGCAGCGAAGAAGCCCAAATTTAGGTGACCATTCGTCTCGCTATTAAATTTAATGCTTGTTAACCTCTATGTTTCTGTCTACATTGTATTTTCAGCTATTAACAATTCATAACAATATTATTACGTTTATTAATACTTTTTTAATACCATTTAATTGAATGAATATGCTTGCTTTATATCTATTTATTTAAATCTAATAATTTAATATTATTTAAGAGATGTGTATTTTTCTTAATAAAGTTTTGTTAATTGACATTGATTTGTATTTAACTACTATGATTTGAAAAATTATGTGATATTAAATATCTACAATATCATATTTTTCTTGTGTGATACAATAAATTTTTAAATTTGTAAATTAATCTTGTCAAACAGAGATGAAGATGAGGAGAAGCCTAGTTCATTTGAGGCAGAACTGGCTACTATGGATCTTGCAGATGAAGATTTTTTAGATGAGACATTGGTAATTGGAGAAGTATGTCTAAATTGTATTTCCGTTAATCTAAAATTAATTTTTTATTTAAATGAATGTATATAATTTATATCTTTTATGTTATGTGTGATAATACGTATACAAATTTATTATTTATTAATAATTTTATTTTATATAGGGACCTGAACAAGAAAATACATCTGCAAAATGGAGTAGAGCTCCTCCACCACCTTTGAATCCAAAAGTTGATACACTGGCATTTCAACAAATTGAAATAGATCATTATATAGGTAATGGATCCATTCAAGTTGACAAAGCGACTAGTCTGCTACATCATCAAATGAATATAATTAGCTGTTACTTATAGATCTAAGCAATTACATTCAATCGCTCGGTGAGCAGGCTAATAGCTTTGTCTGACTTGAACGCCCAATAATGTGTTTTTAAGAAGTGTATATATATTTAAAATAACAGAACGAGTCTATCAATTAAAAATATATCAGTATTATAAAATTTATGATTGTATATAGGTAAATCTCTTCCTGGAATGCCAGGTAGTAAAGTAGGACCTGTACCGATAATGAGAATGTTTGGCGTTACGGAACAAGGAAATTCTGTCTGTTGTTATATCCATGGTTTTTGTCCATATCTGTTTGTATCAGCACCATCGAATTTCACAAACGATCACTGCAGGCTATTCAAAGTACATTTATTTTAACAAAAAACTTGTATTGATTTAAGAAGTAATTAACAACAGAATCTCTCTTCAATATAGGAGGCTCTTAATCAAGCTGTAAAGAAGGATATGAAGTCAAACCCAGATAACATACAAGACGCTATCCTAGCAGTCGAATTAGTCCACAAACAATCGATGTATGGATATGGAGGAAATGATAAGTTGCCATTTTTGAAAATTACAGTGGCAGTTCCAAAATTGATAGCACCTTGTAAAAGATTATTAGAACAAGACACAGTGTATACTGCATTCAATTATCAATATAGAGCATTTGAGAGTAACATCGATTTTGATATCAGGTAGTGTAGACAACATTATATATTATTATTTCTATATGTTACGTTTTTATCGAAATTACATTTTTTTATATTTAATCATTTAAATGCAGGTTCATGGTTGATACATCAGTAGTTGGCTGTTCGTGGATTGAATTACCACCAGGAAGCTGGAAATTACGTGGCCAGCATGGACACATGTTGGAATTAACTACACGATGTCAATTGGAAGTGGATGTTGCATGGGATGCTTTTATAGCTCATACGCCGGAAGGGGAATGGTCAAAAATAGCTCCATTCAGAATTCTCAGTTTTGATATTGAATGCGCTGGACGCGAAGGTAATTATTGTCGTTGCTTTTTCTCCTTTAACTCTGATATTTTTTTATTATAAATTTAATTACAAATCCTTTCTGCAGGTATCTTCCCGGAAGCAAAACATGATCCTGTGATACAAATTGCTAACATGGTCATAAGACAGGGCGAGTCCGAACCATTTTTAAGAAATATTTTCACTCTCGATACTTGCGCGCCTATCGTCGGTAGTCAAGTTCTGAGCTTTGAAAAAGAAAGTTTAATGTTAGAGGTAAGTTAATTAAATCATAGGGAAAGTATACGGCATTGTGATATCAATTATCTATATTAACGATATTATTTTCTTTTGCAAGAAATGGGCTGATTTTGTGCGACAATTAGATCCTGACATTTTCACAGGTTATAACATAAACAATTTCGACTTTCCGTACTTAATTAATCGCGCGCAACATCTCAATGTTAGAAACTTCAACTTCCTTGGTCGAATAAAAAATATAAAGTCTGTAATCAAGGATCATGTACTGCAAAGTAAACAGCTGGGTCGTCGTGAGAACAAATCGATTAATTTTGAAGGAAGAGTTCCATTCGATTTATTGCTAGTAAGAAAATTTATATAATGTGTAAACACAGTTCTTTCTTTATATATATTACAGCTTTAATAAAAGTACACAAATATGTACTCTTCAGGTGTTGGTCCGAGATTATAAACTGAGGTCTTATACCCTAAATGCGGTATCATATCATTTTCTTCAAGAACAAAAAGAAGACGTCCAACATAAGGATATTACGGGATTACAAAACGGAAATGCACAAACACGTCGACGTCTCGCTGTATATTGTTTGAAGGATGCATACTTACCACTTAGATTATTAGACAAATTAATGTGTATTATTATCTATATGGAAATGGCAAGAGTTACAGGAGTATCCATTTCTAGCTTATTGACTCGCGGGCAACAAATCAAAGTTGTTTCTCAACTTTTACGTAAGGTAATAAATTTACATAATTACAGAAAGAAATAACTATTTGATATTGGCAATTAAGTGTATCTATTAATGTCAGACTAGAGAAAAGGATTACTTGATGCCAGTACATCAAGGCCATGGTACCGATGAACAATTCGAAGGAGCGACTGTCATTGAACCTAAGCGTGGCTACTATAATGATCCGATAGCTACTTTAGATTTCAGTTCCTTATATCCTAGCATTATTATGGCACACAATTTATGTTACACAACATTATTAACCATTGCTAAAAAGAAGGAGCTCAATATTCAGGAGGACCAAATTACCACAACTCCTAGTAGATCATTTTTCATTAAGAATACCATAAGGAAAGGAATCCTTCCGGAGATTTTGGAGAATCTATTGGCGGCTAGAAAAAAAGCAAAAGCAGAGTTAAAGCAAGAAACGGATCCTTTGAAGCAAAAAGTACTCGATGGCAGGCAATACGCCTTGAAAGTATCGGCGAATTCCGTATACGGCTTCACAGGTGCGCAGATGGGAAAATTACCATGCTTGGAAATATCTGCTGTAAGTTCTGATATTCTCAAAACATTTAATGAAAAAAAGTATTGCAAAATATATCATAAAAAATACAGAATATTCATAATAAATGTAATATAATAAATTGCAGAGCGTTACAGCTTATGGACGTACTATGATAGAGCAAACAAAGCAAGAAGTGGAGGATCACTTTCGAATAGAAAATGGATATAAAAACGATGCGATAGTCATATATGGTGACACTGATTCCGTGATGGTTAAGTTTGGCGTGAAAGATATAGAAGATGCAATGAAACTCGGTAAAGAAGCGGCTGATTATGTGACATCTAAATTCATCAAGCCTATAAAGTTGGAGTTTGAGAAAGTGTATTTTCCGTATCTCTTGATCAACAAAAAACGTTATGCTGGTCTGTATTTTACGAAACCCGATAAATATGATAAAATGGATTGTAAAGGTCTTGAAACGGTGCGCCGAGATAATTGTCCATTGGTAGCGAATATGATGAATACTTGTTTGCAAATATTGCTTATCGAAAGGTATATTATTTTTTCCTTTATATCCAAATCGTCGTATTTATATTATAGATAAAAGTAATAAATAATATAATATTATATACACAGGAATCCACATGCCGCTGTAGATTATGCCAAACAAATCATTAGCGATCTTTTGTGTAATCGGATCGATCTATCTCAATTAGTCATCACGAAGGAACTGACAAAGACAGATTATGCGGCAAAGCAAGCACACGTTGAACTGGCGGCGAAGATGAAGAAACGAGACGCTGGAAATGCACCGAAACTTGGTGACCGAGTGGCATATGTGTTCACAAGCGCAGCTAAAGGCACACCGGCATACCAAAAGGCGGAAGATCCTGTGTACGCACTGCAGAATAGTATTCCGATAGATACAAACTATTATCTGGAGAATCAATTGGCGAAACCTCTTGTACGTATCTTTGAACCTATCCTCGGCGACAAGGCCGAGTCGCTTCTCCTGAAAGGAGATCATACGCGTACGAGATGCATCGCTACCTCGCAAGTTGGAGCGCTCGCGGCTTTCACACGTAAAAAAGAGACGTGTTTAGGCTGTAAAGCTGTTTTACCACCTGACAGAGAAGACAAAGCAGTATGCAAGCATTGCGAATCTCAAGAGGCTGAACTGTTTCACAATGAGTTGCAGGCTCAACACAAACTGGAAGAAAAATTTTCCAGATTGTGGGCAGAATGCCAAAGATGTCAAGGAAGTCTCCATCAAGAAGTTATATGCTCTAAGTTAGTTGTATTAATTAATATAGAATACTCTTCAAATAAGGATATGTTCTTATATATATATATATACATATATATATGTATATATATATTAACACTGAATTAATATTTACACATAGAAAAATAAATATGAATAACATTCCAAAATAATTATTTTCAAATATATTTTCAGCCGTGACTGCCCAATATTTTACATGAGGGTGAAATCTCGATTAGACATGGATGCGAAAATCAAACGAATTAAAAGGTTCGGCGCACTGGAATGGTAATAAAAAGAGCGATCGCACGTTGTATGGGTAGGTTCATTTTATAAAAGCTATTACCTACTACAAACGAAATTACCATTATTTATATATAATAAATTTAATTTGAATCTATTCAAACTATTACGAAATATGTATTTCTTATAAATTCTTAAAATTTAGTAGATTGCTTAGGAAGTATAAATACATATTGGAAAACATATATTAAAAATTATCAACCGGTCTATTATTTGATTTTAATTGCTGCTAATCGGTAAAAATTATCTCAATACGAATATAAAAATTCTCACAATCAGTTGAACTAAAATTTAACTCAAAAGATGAAACTTCTATTTTTTATATACTTGAAATCATTTCCAACACTAACACGATTCTTTCGCGGCACAGAATTCATTTTATTTCATTTATATTGTGTAACAATTTTTATAAATGCTAGTATGATGTTGCACTTGTATCCTATCCTTTGAGTTTCATTTTAAATTTGTTTTACTCGTATTATTGAAAAAAAAATATTTTATATAATTTAAGATACAATGAAGACAATAGTATATTATGCATAGATATGATTTAAATATTTTGGAGTATTCTTGTTTTACGAGTTTGAACTTTTATCGAAAATTTATTCTTGTTGTTGTCTAGTAATAAAGTTGTATATTTGATGGCAATATACTCATATTCCCATTACAAACAATTTATAATTTCATATTAAGTTCAATTATCATGAATATTAAATGAATAGCGACAGTTATTTTAATCAAATTGTCTAATAAACGTTACGCATAACAGTAGTGTAACAATAGTATGAGATATTTATTAGTGCAAAAGATTCTAAGTTGAAAGAATTCTCTAAGCTTATTATCTTAAATATAAAATGATCCCCTTATTGTTACATGTTTCAGCCGTTATGAAAAAGTACTGCGATTCTTTGAATATTTTTGTTCTGTAAATTGTAAAGGAAATATTTAAAGTACAATAATTACAATAAATAAACAAAACATGTGTCTGGTGACAACCTGACGACACATTTAGAGCGACAGTCGTATGACTAGTCCCCTTGTAAGGCTCAAATATAAATAACTCTGACATAATATTGATCATTTTCTACTCTGTAGTGCATTCGACAACCAGTCCATGGCTTGGTCAAGTCCTTCGCCTTTTGTCGCGGAAGTTTTAAATATTTGGAAGGTTCTGTTTTTAAGAGCGTCTAATCCGAGCGCTTGATGGACCTCCGCAACACTAAGGCATCCAGCCATATCCTGTTTATTCGCCAGTACCACCAAGATTGCGCCTTGTAACTCTTCTTCCTGTTTAAATACAAAATACATTTTAAATTATTTTTTTTAAAAAACAATTATTAATATTAATATAAAATAAAAAAATAAAGATTTTTTATTTAAAAAGTACCATGCATAATTATTAGTTCAAAAAGTAATATTACTTGTAACATGAGAATTAATTCATCCTTTGATATGCCTATTCTATCTCTGTCTGCCGAATCTACCACGTAAATTATCGCATCTGTATTGGAATAGTAACACCTCCAGTATGGTCTAAAAGTATAAATGTATTTATTTAAAATATATTTTATGAACTACCTATAATGACATGTCAGTGCTGTCTAAGATTTGTAATTCAGGGCATTAACATGTATCAGCATTCATATCTCTACCTTGCTTTCTTTTTCTTAGTGGAGATTCAAAAAAGAAGACAATAGCTATAAATGCTCACATACATCAAGTCGATGTACAATATTACAAGTACAGGATAATACACTGATATATGCATGTGCATTATTAAAATTTAGGATAAAAAAATAGTTATATAAATTTTAAAACCAACTTTCACATGTACATAAGCTTGACATACCGTATACTCGTCTGACCACCGAGATCCCAGACTTGAAACTTTAAATTTTTGTAAGTAACTTGTTCTACATTGAACCCTATGGTTGGTATTGTAGTTACCACTTCGCCGACCTGTAACCTAATAAGCAATCAATTAAAAAACTTTGCTTGTAACAATTTTGTGGTTGAAATTTTATATAAATAAATAAACATATATTTTCCTTTCTCATCATTGTAGAATTAATACATTTGGATATTCATATCATAGAATTATAAAATATATACATATATTATTCATGATATTTATAATATTAATATGTAATTACACAATAAATAGAAAATAAATTATATTTAAACTACCAAAAATGTAAGGACTTCAAGATGTAAAGATGAAAGCTCCAGATATAAAAAAAAGTTTCAAAAAAGTTGGCAAGATTAGGTGCACGGAGTAAACACGAATGACAGCTAGTCATCGAGGTAATGAGACTGTCAATGCAAACCTGTACAAAATCGTGGTTTTGCCGGCGCCGTCCAGGCCTAGGATCAGGATCCGCATCTCGCGGCTACCGAGCAGGTTACGAAAGTAGCTGAGCAACCCACCTGTAAGGAGATATCATCAGAATCTCGCGTACGAAACCGTAAGAAAAACCACCTCGATAATCGGAGTAGCATGAGATATTCAGTCCTTTTTTTGTAAAAAATAAGTGCGTGGCACAGAACGAGAAATCGCTCGTTGTTGACTCACCCATGCTGACGTATCGTTAACTCCGAGTCATACAGGACCGTCCGATGTTTATTGTCAAACTTGATAACCATAAACGTGTCCAAATAACCGGGCCGCGCCAACCCTCCCTCGCTCTGCTGCATCCACGGTTGAAGGTATACGACCTACTTCAGTCTGCTCGCTGTCAGGGCCGCCAACGTGCCACGCGGAAAATTGAGATTTCGAAAGTCACTAATCAGCCGGCTCATCGCGCAGGGAATCGCGAACGGTCATTGCACTTTTTTTCTTAACGATTTAGTGCGTTCCCAAATTCATCGAGAAAAATTGTTTTAACCTTCCGTCGGTGCACTTTTTAATTCTCCCTCGCAAACGCGAGCACACCACTTGGCATACGACGTATGGATCTATTTACGAACGTAAACCGGTGATCGTGTATGTACGTTGAACAGTGAACTGGTGACGTTGAAAGTTCCGATCGGGGAAACAATGCGCGTTAGTTAGAAATTCGTTGATCCACACAGCTGTATTGATTGAGTTGTTTTAATTTAATAGGAACGCCACAATTGACGTTTATTGACGGCACGATAATGCACACGTTTCTAACACGAGGAAATGCTATCTTGGCATATACGTTAAGCGTTTCGGCCTGTCTCACATTTTGCTGTTTTCTCTCGACAGTATTTATTGATTACAGAGCGAACACTACGTTAAATACGGTTAAAGTTGTCGTGTAAGTATCAAACGTGAATGTATATAATGTAAACGTAAATATAATGTATCATACAATTTATATTACACAGTTTATTTTATTTCAATTAAATCACACTTATGTTTTTGTCAAAAGGATCCATATTGTATTGTAAGTCGTACTGTACAAGACAATAAATTTTTCTATACTGTCTTAAATATGTAAATATTGAGAAGCTAATGTATCAAAGATTAATACATGTTACATATAATTTTACATATTTGCAATTGCTGTAGTAAATTCACTTTATTTCGCAGAAAGAATGTACCAGATTACAGTGCATCGAGAGAAAAGAACGACCTGGGCTACTTGACTTTTGATTTACAAACTGATATCCTTTTCACACACAGTATTGTACAAATATCTCTATGTTATTAATTAATTATTTTATTTATATGAATCCTATCTAAATTATATGATTTCTAATCGTCTTATGTAATGACAAAAAATAGCATTGGTAAAGATAATTACTTCCTCCTTCAGATTTGATTTTATAAGAAAAGATCAAAGTACCGTGAGTGAAGATGACCTCTTTTGTTCTATAAAATAGCATATTTTACATACTGAAAACCACGTTCGCTGTCGACTTTCATTGGCCTTTCTTTCTAATTATTGTTTTCTGAATTCATATATTTTAAATTATATTTGCCTTATAAAGCTTTTACATCTTACTCCATTGTTTAACTGGAATGTTAAGCAGTTATTCTTATACCTCACGGCAGAATATCAGACAGAAAATAATGAATTTAATCAGGTATGTCTTTATTTAATCAGGTCTATTAATTTACAATATGTATTCTCCTTTTTTCTTAAGATTAGTTTTTAAATAAAATTTATAATGTGTTGACAGGTAGTATTATGGGATAAAATAGTTCTTCGTGGAGATAATGCTGTTCTAGACTTCAAAAATATGAATACAAAGTATTACTTTTGGGATGATGGCAAAGGCCTCAGGTAGAGTTGATTATTGTGGCAGCAAAACTTTTTTGTAATTTTTGTTAATCTTACACACACAGCAAATACATTTTGCTTTTCATTTTTACAGGGGAAATAAGAATGTAACGTTAGCACTGTCCTGGAACATTATTCCAAACGCTGGATTGTTACCTAGTGTTAATGCTCTTGGTTCTCATACTTTTGCATTCCCGTCTGAATACACAACATTACGCGTATAACGCATATTTAAATGTATATGTGTTATGATTGTATAATATGATTTTGTAAGACTTATTTAAATTGCATAAAATTCATGTACAATAAACAACGTTTATTTCTTCACGGTCATTTCTTTATTATATTCAACATTATATTTGCTCTCAATTCGCTTATTATCACCTATATTTGTTTAAAATGGATTATCAAATTTAAATATTGTGAATATTAAATATATGTATACTTAGGAGTCGTAAATCAATTTATATTTTACAAAATATTGAAATTGTCCCTCTTCTTGAATTCTTATACTTCTTTCTGCACATTTGTGCATGACTTTATAATCAATCATTTCATTTTCAATTATATTACTATTTTGCACTGTAAGTGCTAAGCTTTATTTTTACTATTCTCTGGAGTTTCTTGCATTGTAGTATCTTTCTTTTCTTCATCTGTACTTGTGGATTCATCATCATCATCATCGTCGTCTTCTATGTCATCCTCATCATCTTCGTCTTCATCATCATCATCATAGTCATCATCTTCATCTTCATTGTCGTTGGAATAGCTAACAGTTCCATAACAAGACTCCTGATTTTCTGCACAAAAAAAATCTTTTCTCAAAAATATAAAAAAATTAATACAAATATTCCTAATTTTTTTAAGATCTTGAATGCTCATTTCTATCAACACAGATTAATTTTAATCTCAATTTGAATTACTCTTTCTTTAATACTTAAAACTAGAAAAGAATAAAAAGTAAGTCAAAGTTAATTTACAATGACAGAAATGAACATAAAATTTTCATTAAAAACAGAAGAATCTTGATTTACCATAATTATATCCGTTTTCATCGTCAGATTCAGATAGACCACCTTGGTTTTGTCTACCAAACTTGTGATTTCTCGCTATAAAAGAAATTCGAATAAATCAAATAAACTCAATATAATATAAATTTTACAATAATATACGCGTAAATGCTTACTAGACATGCTTAGATCCTTAGTCTGTGATGTCTCGTAGCTGCACTTTGGACAAGGGATAGGTTTGTTCTTTTCATATTTAAAGCCTTTTCTACGAACGTGATCTTCACAATAGCATGTCTTACACCTAAGACAAGAGTATTGTCCCAAACGATTACATGATTGGCCTGCAAATTTTAATTCACGTTAAAATACAATTGGAAACTAAATAAAAATGTTCCTCATGTATATTGCCTATTACATTTGAAATTTTCTGCTTCCAATACTTGGCACGATGCTTGATGCTCAAATTGATCATCCTCGCATAAGAAGCAATCACAGAACGAACACTTAAATATCCTTCCTCCATGATCCCAAACGCCTCTCTCGCATTCCTGACAAACGGCGTCCATCAATGGACAGATGCAAGCGTGACTAGTGAGACAACGTCTTCCGTGACATACCCAAGCTTCGCAATGATCGCATATGGCTCCCTAAAACACTTCATTTGTGATAGCATATCTCCATAAATATTTGAAGAGGCAGTTGTATAATGTAACAGACAGATTTACTTGCCACCATTCCTAATCCTGTGGTGAAAATCCCAGGATGACGCACCACGCAGTCTCCTGTCTTCAGCATGCATTTAATCTTGCCACAGTGCGCACATATGGGCAATCGCTGTACACTCTGACAGAAATAACAAAAGGCACGGCTCTTTTGCTTCTTATTGCACTTGTCACATTCCTATGAGAGATAAAATAATATTAGAATCATTAAGTATTCTTAGATCATTTTAAGATTCGTTTTTTATTACTAGACTGAAGAAACTTGACTCACATATACCCGATAACATTTTATCCTTGTTTAACATTTAGGCTATACCTCAAAATGTCCTCTCTGAGGGAAATTTATTTGATACAATATAAAGTTTGTTTATTATGGCTAAAGCGTACACTTTCGGAGCTTAAAGACAGATACATGTTTGATATTTGGCAAAAGTGAGAAATATAGTTTTAATGCAATCTAATACAGGAATAAAAAATAGACCTCTAGTATACATGTTACTTGTACTATATATTTCAAATAAAATTTTCCTTGGAGAGGTACGTTTTGAAATGTAAGTTTGGTGAACAACAAGGATAAAATGATAATACCTTGAATTCGTGAGTGCACCTCTGAATTGTAACTTTCATTTTCACCCAATTTCAAGCATATACCTAATAAACCTAATTTCACTTTAAGTACAACTGTAATAGTTCAACTATAACAACAATTACGATCGAGAAATACTCACCATCACGGAATTGCAAGGAAATTTGGCCAGGTCAATCTGCTCCTTGGCAGCTCTGATCTCCTTTTGCCGGAGTTTCTGCTTCTCCGCTTTCTTCCTCTGCCCCGTTTTCTTCTTCGGCATTTTGTTCTGTAAACGCGCACCGCAAGAAACCCGACTTTCCGGCTTTTGAGATTACAAGACGTGCGGATAAATCACGCGAAGTCGCGAGAGATTGCAACAGGTTATGGTTTTGAACACCACGGAGACCGGAGTATGGACATCACTACGAGAGTCGAGTGATCGATATTACGATATTTGAACCGCGTGACAGCTGTTTGAAGGGTTATTTTTTTAGTTGCTGTCTGATATTGTACTGTAAGGTATAAAATTAATTATTTAGCATTTCATTTAATGGAATGGGATACTATGGATATAAATAAAAAAATTTGCTCTTTCAGAACTGACTTATTAAATGGAAGCACTGAATGATGGTAAAGAAAACCGTCAAATATCGTTGAACAATGGAAGGTCCAAATCGCCGTATGCCGTTGAGTCCCTGTTACTACTGGATAACACATTATTATGTAACATAGAATCTGACAATGGATTATACGTCTCAGTAGATACTCACCAGCCTTTCCAAGAGCACAATGAGACAATGCAAGTATCTAAAGAGTCGCTGCAAAACGTTGCAATCAATGCAACAGCTAGTCCCAAAATATCATTCAGTGTGTCCCCCAATGTGAATGAATGGCAGGACAAAACCTTGATGAATCAAATATTTGCTCAATTCGATTCACAGAATGAGGAAGAAATTAATTCAGAGAGTTACAATAACATAAGCAATTATGATATATTTGATACATTTTGCAAAGAGGATACGAAGTCTGACTTAGACAATGTAGATCAAAATGTGGAGAAAGCAGATCAATTGTATAAAAATGTATTACATCAAGATAAATTAATGGGTGCATCGTGTTTGCATATCACAAACTTTGGTGACAATACTTTGGAGGATAATGATTTTAAAAAGGATGATAGAGATAGTTCACCAATTTTAAAAACTAAATCTAGACCCTTAAATGAATGTAAAATCTTAAAAAAAAAACTACGTTTTTCTAACGATGTGTCAAAAGAGACAAAACATAAAACAGATTTCACTAATTGTTCTTCATTTTATGGCTTACCGGACACTGTGAAAAGGTTGATACAAAAGGTCAAGGGAATTTGTGAGTTATATCGTAAGTTTGCAATAATATATAAGTAGAATTTATAATATTAAGAAACAACGATTTTTAATGTTAATTGTTTTGTACAGAATGGCAAGACGAATGCTTAAAATTGGCTATTAAAACTAAAAAGAATTTAATTTATGCTCTGCCAACAAGTGGTGGCAAAACTTTAGTTGCAGAGATATTAATGTTCAGGGAAATTATATGTAACAAAAAAAATGCCATTTTTATACTTCCGTATGTGGCCTTGGTACAGGAAAAGGCATGCCATTTTGAAATTGATCTATTAGAAAAAGTATTTGTGTGATCTAGTACATTAATTAAGCTCTCTCATAAATTTATATGTAGGTTCAATCAATGGCTATATTAGCGTTAAAATTAGGTTTTTTAATCGAAGAATATGCTGGTACAAAAGGACGTTATCCACCAATTAAACGGCGAAGGAAAAACAGCCTTTACATATGTACCATAGAGAAAGCGTTAGGACTTGTAAATAGTTTAATAGAAACGAAACGCTTAACTGAAGTAAGCTGAAATATTAATAATTAATTATCACAGTCAAGTATCATATACGTTATATTGTTGTAACACAAAAAATATTTTAGATTGGTATTATAGTTGTTGACGAATTACATCTGCTTGGAGAATCTGGAGGAAGAGGAGCCACGTTAGAAGGGCTTCTCACAAAGATAATGTTCTTCAGTGGTAATTATAGATATTTAAATGAAATTATTCAGGAACTCGATTGTGTATCACAACTTAATCAAAAATTACAAAAATGAGCCAATTAGAATATTTATAATTCCATTGATCTTTAATGAATTTGTTTCCTTTTTTGTTATTTTCATCAAGTGTGATACACAATTAAATCCTAGGAAATACAAATACTTCCTAAAAAGCACTTGCTTTTTAATGAAATACTTATTTTTTATAGATATAATACGATTGATTGGGATGAGCGCAACGATAGGTAATTTAAAAGAAATCGCGCAATTTCTTAACGCAGATACATACTCTCAAAATTTTCGACCAGTTAAAATAACAGAATATGTAAAATGTGGAAATGATATGTGGGTAGTTAACTTGAATAATGAAGAATTATTGGTAGATATGAGCACCAATGATTACATGGTGATATAATCAAGTTTTATTTTACAAGATCTTTGCATTAAAGATAATGTCAACTAATATAATTTTATTACATCAAGTACTCAGATGATGTAGCAATGCTGGATCCAGACAGAATTGGAGGTTTGATAATGGAAGTAGTGCCAAATGATTCTTGCCTTATATTCTGCTCAAGTCGTAAAAACTGTGAGAATCTGGCTTTATTATTAGCCAAAATTTTGCCTAAGTAAGACTTTATCATGTTTATTTTAAATTTTTCTTAGTAAATTGTATTAACTCAAATAGCAAAGTGACGTTTTAATGATGTGTCTTATTGACGTTAAAGACATTATTACGATGTCCTTTGACATCACTTTGTAAGTTGGAAAAAATATATAGCGTATTACAAAAAAATATCCAAATTTTATTATTTTAGGGATTTATATAATTACAAAGTAAACGAAAAGATGACCTTGTTAAACACGCTTAAGACTGAAGAAGGATTATGCCCCATTTTGCAAAAAACTATCAAACTTGGCATAGCCTATCATCATTCTGGTCTTACGTCCGAAGAACGGCGCTTAATAGAGAATGCCTTTAGAGAAAGTACTCTATGTGTAATATGTTGCACGTCAACTTTAGCGGCTGGTGTTAATTTACCAGCAAGGAGGGTAATTAAATGATTAATATAATAATGTATGGCTAATATTATTACAGCTATTAACAATATTGTCTTTTATTAGGTAATACTACGTAGTCCTTATGTTGGTAATCAGTTTTTAAATTTAAGTAGATACAAACAAATGATTGGTCGAGCAGGTCGCGCTGGTATGGGAATTTTAGGAGAAAGTATACTTATTTGTAAAAAGTCCGAGATCAGTAAAGTAAGAACTTGTAAAATAAGACTAAAACTAAAGTATTATCTTAAAAGCTAAAGCATAACTTACATTACAGGTAAAAGATCTCTTGACTTCTCAAATGGATGACTCGCTGAGCAGTTTATACATAGAAAACAACAAGGGATTGAACAATTTGATTCTAAGTGCAATACAATTAAACATAGCATCAACTAGGTCTGAATTGCATAAATTAACAACTGCAACATTACTCAGTATTCAACAAATCAGAATAGGCGTTAATCTAAAGACAATAACAGATGAAACAATAACAGCATTATTAAAATGTGGCATAGTAAAAGTAAAAAGCAAAGATAGTAGTACTGGTAATCCTAACGTAACTGTTGTCATTCCATCTCAAGCATCAACATGTAAGGATTTGTCAATTAAAAAGGGAGTAAAAACGGTCACATTTACAAGTGAAACTGAGTTTCAGCTTTGTGATTTGGGACAAGCTGCAATGAAAGGTAACAAGTTTTTATTTATTTCTGATATATTCAAACATATACTTCACAATAGATTCATTGCAGGGCCGATTGAATTAAAAACTGCGTATACATTGTATGAGGATTTAAAAACAGCTCAGAGGCATTTAATATTAATTGATAATCTACATCTTCTGTATCTTGTCACACCTTATGATAGTATATCTCAAATCACTCCCATCGGCAGTATTTACTATAATGTGGTAATATTATTTGTGTCTTTATATAACTCGCCGGTTCGCGTAAAGTAGGCACGACAGTGTCGCTGCGCTTGGCTTAGCACTACTAGACACTACCGTGTCTCCAGATCAATATTGTAAGTATTGCCATAAATGTTTTATAATATTGTTTAAGATAATGGAGTTAACTGAAAATCAAATGCAAGTTGCTAGACTTTTTGGAATAACAGAAGCAGCAGCCAATAAAATACGTGATGGTATAATGCCTAAGGTCAGTTTATTATCAGATAAGCGAAATTATACTTAAATGCACTATTTTATTCAGAAAAGAAAATTTAATTTTATATAGTTTGTCGAGAAGAGGGTAGTTCACAGATTTTATGTGACACTAATAGTACATGAATTATGGAATCATCATACAGTTTATTCTGTTGCTGAGAAATATCAAGTTAATAGAGGTATTATACAAAGTCTTTTAAACGCGGTTTCAATGTTCGCATCTTGTGTAGTCAGATTTTGCCAGGTAAATGAATGAATTATTATCCTAATGGCTGTAATGATGAATATAATATAATAGAAAAATTCAAAATATATCAATCTTTTATATTATAGGAATTACCTGAGTTTTGGGCATTTACTGAAATGTTAAGTACATTCAGTAAAAAACTATCTTATTGTTGTCCATTAGAACTAGAAAAATTAATGGAACTTCCATCAGTTAAAATAGTAAGCTAGTTATTATTGGTACATTATGTTCAAATATTTAAAGATCAAATGATCTATATACATATCTATTTTATCATTTTTTATCATAGGGTAGAGCTCGTCAATTATACAAAGCTGGTTATAAAACTTTACAATCTGTAGCGAAAGCCGATCCTAAGGAAATAAAGGAAAACATTCCATATTTAAGTAATAGAATAGTCACGCAAATTATAGCTGCTGCAAAAGTAAGTCATATAATCTATGAAAATATTTACTTTCACATTCTTCTTACTCATGATAAATTACAGCTTTTAATATTGCAAAGAGCAGAAGATTTAAAAGATGAGTGTGAAGACATTTTGGATGGTATAGATGTGAGTCAAATAGAAGTAGGGATGTAAATAAGATAAATTATTCGAATTATAAATATAAGTCAAATAGAAATAAGTATGTAGATAAAATTATTCTAATAAGGTTGCGTTCAGTTTGGATGTAAGCTCCTACCTTCTTCCTGCATATAATGAATGATAAGAATAGAATCAAGTATGTCCAAACACCAAACGCAATCAAATTGTTCAAAATTGTTCCTAAATGAAATTTATAAGTCTTGACTAATTTCTGAACATTTTTATTAGTTAAAGATTTGATTAGGTTAAATCATAAAATTGA